GAAGGACCTACTTGAACATTCGTTCACTTTAAATTCGCCCTTTCTGAATATGTAGTTTACTTCACAACTCATTCGATACTTCCATCGATACTACTGTCTTCCGTATATACACCTAGCGAGCGTTCGATGATAATCATGTAAGTACTCACTAAGAAACATCAGTTAAACGAGATTTCCGGAATTAAAATAAACAGGTCCTCTAACCACCACTTTGTAAAGCTTGACGTGTCGAGTTACATTATGCAATCTTCTCTCTAAAGAAGAACTCAGCCTAGGTACGAAGGAAAAGTGAGAAAACGCAGATCTATGATTTCTTCGTTTCTGAAAAATTAGGGCAGGTACTGTATGAGCAGTATACTAACAAGGGAAGGATCCCAAGTCGAAGTGGCCATTTGAGATGAGACCTACACTGCTAGACTATTTTTGATGCTGATTTCGAATCTGCATTCAAAATCTGCCAAACGGTTCTCTGAACGAAGTTACGAAAGTGGTCTCCGGAGAGCGCTCAACAGGAGAAAGCACAAAAGCCATGGTCGCCGATAGTCCAGCAGTGGCGGCTTGGAGTAGAGGTAAGCGTGATGCTTCATAGGCATGGGTCCAAGGACCGGATTTGACGGGCGACTGTGTTTTTGCATTTTGCAGGACTTTTTCTTCCAGGTTGTTAGAATGTTTTTATATTAGTTTTACCACCTTCAGCAATTTTATAGTTTCTGGGGGTGAGTCAGTTCCTACTTAAACCGTCTGACATCTGCTCTAACCACCAACATGACGAAAATTCTGTTCTTCTACATCTCAATTCACTGTAGGATAACTTCTACCTATTATAGCAGATGTGATGTGAGCAGAAGTGTTTAAAATAAAGTTCTTCACAATGAGCGCAACGAATGAAAAAAATTCCGCCGCGGGCTGTTTCTTCACGATCACTTACTGCACCAGGTGGAAAGCAGAACTTGCAGGTGTCACAAAATCACCTCGACGTGAGCTCAAGAAGCCGGCGGCGTGCCATGAGTGAGAGTAAAACCTCTCAGAAGCAGAGAATTGGAGGGACACCAGTGACTAATCGATCACTGGGATGTTCATCACCTTCAACTGGGTTTGTGGAGGTAGTGCTGACTGTATTGCTTCATGATTTTAAAGGATGTCCAAGAGTCCACCAGCAGCAACATTGATGTAGGTGAGTCCGGAGCAGCCACGCATGATCGAACCCACTCCAACATCAATTAGTTGCTCATTATGTGCGTTCTAATCGCCCGAACATCCACATTCGGGGCATAGAGGAGTCCCCTTCTTGAAAACTCGCCAAAGGGTTCCTATCAAAGTCGGCTGGCCCATTTCGCAGGGAAGGCCGTTCTGACAGGAACTATTTCACCTCGAGCATTCAAATAGTCGCCGAAAGCGGTAAAACTGACATAAAACCATTTTTACAACCTGGATGGAAAAGACCTGTAAAATGCAAAAAGCAGTCTCCCGACAAACCCGATCCTTGACCCCATCCTATGAAGCGTCACGCTTACCTCTACCCCAAGCCGCCACTGCTGAACTATCAGCGACTATGGCTTTTGTGCTTTCTCTAGTTGAGCGCTCTTCGGGGACCACTCGGTAACTTCGGTCGGAGAATCTTTTGGCAGATTTTGAATGCAGATCCGAAATCAGCATCAAAAAATACGTCTAGCAGTGTAGGTCTCATCTCAAATGGCCACCTCGACTTGAGATTATTCCCTTGTAAGTATGATCTTCATCGAAGCTGAGTAGATGCTGGAACCTTTATAACGATGTATTGCCCAGGTTAAGTTTGAGTGAACAATCATCTAACTAGCATTCGTAAGAAATTGTCGCTTCCAGGGATATGGGTGTACCAAATTCACAGGTCACATGACGTATCATCCTGTGGCGCCGCACAATGGGACCTGTGAGTTTGGTACAAACAGATCCTTAAAAGCAACAATTCTTCCAGAAGGATTCAGCCGTTTGAAGAGGCGACAAAGAAAACATTTTTCAAGAGAAATTTTTCCCTACGGTTCCATCAGGAGCAGGACCCACTCAGGGAACGTCCAGGAATCTGCAAAGTACCGCCGGCATGAGTGGTACGATTTACTGTAACAGCGTACATAAAAGTAAATCACAAAACTCACGGAAAAAAGGGAACTAAATGCAAGTGAGGATGCCCATGTTAGTTTGATTGCCATGGTCCAGATTCGTACGTGAATATGGGACGCTGTCAGCTCTCTAGCACCGTTGCCGGCCGTTTTCAGGAGCTATGAGTGCAACGGTAATACATAGTAGGACGGTTGTCCTGCCGTTGGGTCAAATAACGGATTGTGGGGACTCAATGTCGCTCATTAGTATGCATTTCCAACACTACCCTTGTCTCCATCATGAAGTACGCCTTGTACCTCGCAATATTAATATCTGTTCCACCTTTCAACTGAACGTTCTTCTCCATAGTGCTGTCGCGATAGTAAAATATGATATCAAACAGCTTACGTTCGCTAATTTATTAGTATACCAGTGAGCTACGCACGCTCATGCGTGCACCACATGTCCACAATCGCTCGTCTACGATTTCACTCGAGAAGAGCAGTAAAACATTTTCATGTTCCGCATAAACGGCACTGCTTCACCCAAAATCCCCTTCGAATTTCATTTCTGGAAATCGCGCATTAGAGTTAAGCACTCAAGAGCGAAATATCCTTCCAAGAGCGTAGCTGTCATTACATTTAATATTGAAAATGTCGTTCTAGTTTGATTGTAGCAAATTGCGATCTTGGCGGAGGTGCAGAAAAGCATTGACTTGTACATCGGCCGGCCACCGCCAAGTCATTGCATAGGCCATACGCCACACCCTGGCCATTATTTAATTGCGCAACAGAGAATGGAAAACAGTCAGCAGAGTGTTCGATAATGCCTGATACCAAGAGATGCCAATGTAAAACGTTTCCTAACCGACATTGTCTCTCTTATCTAAAAACTGGTTAGCCTGTGATCTACTTCCCCACCGCGCTCACGTGATCTCCCCGCCTACTGACTTTTGCGAGGACACACAATCGGGCATACAAACAGACATGCAAAGTTAGCGGTTTATATATATAGAGGATATATAGAGGATCGATATACAATGTATCATAAAATTACATATACAGTAGCGCTCAAAAGTTTTCGGTGAAATGCTTTGGCGCTTTTCCGCTCATAACTTTTTTCTTAGTAGACCAAACTGCGCAAAATTTGGATATGTTTAACTAAAGCATATTTCACCCTACCCTACACTATTTGACTGCAAAGCTGCAATATCCACGGATAGAGCAAAGTGTTTGTTGCGGTAGCAGAATTTGCTAAAAGTAAAGTTGTTGACGTCTGCACTTATTCGCACCTTATAAGCGTTTTCTCTTTTATTGTGTTCGGCGTTACCGCTCGTACACACATGACAAAAAGGAAGAGATTCTGGAAGGGCCATCATCTGCATTTTCAGTCGACTTTGAGTTCATGCTCTTTGGAATATCTGGAACATAATCAGATTGCAGGTTGATAGTGGTAAATATTCACGATACCCCCACGCTCCGAATATAGAAATATCGCATGATTAGACCCAGCAGGAAAGGAGTTACGATTGCAAAGAACGGATGAAGAACCATTTCACCGAAGACTTTTGAGCGCTACTGTACATAGGGAGATTTCGCTCGCACACTGCTTGTCGCTCTTGTGTTGACTTTTGTACAGAATTTCTTATCCATTTATCTCACTATCTATTCTAGCGAACCACTTCACGCGTCCTAAGAAGATAAACGATAACATTTACCATGGATAGCCAAGAAGAGTCTAGTGACTGTCGAAGATTGGGTTTACTGAAGGTTTTTATATTATTCTTTATATTCCATATTCACCTTAGCTCGCAAGTAGATCTAACACAAAATCTTAGGCAGCAGTAGACGCACCAAGAAGACCACTCCAGCCTACAGGTCGAACGGCATCCAAGTCTACTGAGTAACTGCATCAGTCGTCATGGTGCTCCAACTAGAGAAGCTTATTGGGACATCGACAAATGAGTATACGAACAAAGCCCTTGGGGCAGTTCGTTGGGCAGGTAAGCCAGGTTGTAACTGGACGCCAACTCATGAACTTCGAAAAGAGATCACCTTGAAGGACATAAATGTTAGTCATTCATCAGGTTATACTCGAATAGCAAAAATGTGCTACTGTATCGCTTTTGCCAAATATGCCCTCGTGAGAAGATTAACCTGCATTTCGTCAAATAACCATTCAAACTTTGAATCACGGGAGCTAGCTTACGCGCTTTTCGTTGCACGTCTCACGTGCAAACGATAATGGCTGTTTCAAAAAAATGAAGGCAAATTGCTACAAATCGTTTACAATGAGTCTGAAAAATATGGCTTCTATGTATAGAAGAACAAAGTGTTGTAGCTGCTTTCTGTAGACTTTTTAGGGCTTATTTTGTTTGAGCTCTCTATCCAAGTCTTCGGATGAACGAGCAAGTTTCTGTTCCAAGCTGTATGGACCGTGCCTTTCTGAAAAGGTTTGAAGAGTTCTTCACTTCGAGACACGGTTTATTTGTTCTTCAGAAATGAGTAAAAGAAAACCATGGCAACACCATAACAAATCTAACAGAGTCAGCGATTCTTCCGAATGTCCATGTTTTAAAAATCGTATACGGAATCTGTTACACAATTTATCACCACAATAAACAGTCTCATTCTAGCTGCTCAATCAGCATATCAGAAAATACTGACACTCATCAATCGCTCTAATTTTTACGGGATACAAGACTAGAGCTGTTTTGTCTGAATTCATTGTGAACAAGAAGTTAAAACACTACACAATACGAACCAGAACTATTTACAACTGTCGATTCGCAGTTGTCAAGCAGGAGCTACATGAAGTGCGTTCCGAGATGATCAAGAGTGATTTAAAATAAATACCTTTAAAGCTAAGTCGTTGTTGCGGAACGACTTGAGATAGAACAGAAAAGTTGAACAGGGAAAATTTTCCTATCTGTTGAGTACAACAGAATCTACAGAAACAGGCGGCCCTCTTGGGAAGTTGAAACCTTCCTTCTCTCTGGCTGTTTTAACAGGAACTTTTACGCAGTTGCTCTTGTTGTTGTTGCTGCTGCTTCTGTGAGCTGGTTTCGTTTGCAGTGCATTCGTCACCATCTCCATTAATTTGATGATCTGTCGAGATCATACCCTTTACTACAACGAATCAACTACTTCCCAAGTACACTATTTGCTCATAATGATAACCCTTGCGTCAAATTAACTCGATCCTGGGTAGGCTGTACTTTTTTCGCAACGCAGATAGTTTTCTAATAATTGTCTGAAGCAAAGCTCGAATGGTTGAAGATGCTAAAAATTCCATGAACCCTTTTGAGCAATTTCAATTGAGGGAGCCACGATAGCTATTCAAAATGGATGTATGCAATCTTATGCACTTTTGAACGCTGATTTCTATTCTGCATATCAAATCTGCAAAACGACTCAGGGAACAAACTCGCAGTATGTATCTAAAATAATTCAAGGAGAACTTGAACGGGCAAACACCTTCGCTAAATCGGTAAGGAGTGCGCCTGTCCCCCTAATTTCTATGAGGGAATGACGAAAACTTGGAATGCATCCTGCATTTTAGATGAAAGACAACGTAGAGAGTAATCCAACTGGAGTGGCTTCGGAAGATTTCAGTGCCGGGTTTTGTAGCTAAAAGGGGGCTTGTACTAATGAAATGACAACTTGTCAATACAGATACGATGAAATGAAATACAGATGAGATGAGAAGCATAATCGTGAAAAGTCAGAATGAATCAGATCGACTATTTAAATCAATGTCACTTCTTCTCCAACTCTAAAGACAACAGTAGTGAGTAGTGGAGCAGGATCAGCTCTTCACACATCAAAACGGTACGCCTTTCTTGAAGTTCGAACTATAAAAGACGATGGCGTCTTACCTTAACTGCAAATTGAAACTATGAGGAAGGACACAAAAATGGGGAGTCACCTATGGATCGATCACAAAGGACGCCCTAAAAAAGCAACAGTAAATGAAGGATGCCATTCAGTTATTTCTCTGTCTTCCCGACTGAAAAGCAGAGCCAGTTTCTGAATCTAGGTGCTCTGCAAAATGCAAGATATTCTAGCCGAAACTGAAGTCGATGCACTAGTGATAGAAGATCGCTGCCTTTGACACTAGGAGAGCACCTTTAGGAAAGTGCAAAAAGTTATTCAGCAATCCGCAGATTGTTCCGAACAAAGGTACTGTATTCACGCTCCACTGGGGTGGAGGTAAATTTTCTTTTTAAATGAAAGAGGTTATGAAGAATTTCACTTGACAGGAATTCGTGGTGTTCATTAAGGTTGCGTAAAAATTGTAGATAGTCAGTGAGGTGTGTAAGCTGTCTTACTAGCGCTTACAGCGCATTTTTAAAATGCATCGAGGATGCCAATACTCACTGCATGCATGTAAGCCTACCGTATCACAAGCAACACCAATGGAAATGCTCCACCTCTTTGGCCCTTCGCTGCCATACATATTACAGAGAGAGAACGCTTCCACAATTTTCTTGCCTCAATCGTATCGAAGATTTGGAATACTAGTTTAAGGTGAGCTAGAAAACATGACGTCGGTATATGTCTCAACTTCATTGAGCACTACCGAGTTCAATTATCCTTCCTTTGTTCGAAAATGTTTCTTCTACCGCTGTATTTGATGCTTTAGCTCTTGGTTCCTTTGAGATTCATCACCCTGCAAGTACGTTGGAAACTTTGATAACTTTGGAATACCATTGAAACGTGTTGAGAAACAGGTGGTCTGACTTCTAGACGAGCGCACAATACCTGAAGTCAAAAACAAAATGATTTTCATATCGTTGGACCCTGTTGCAACGTTCAGAATTTGTGTATCTCACGTAAAGATAGCTACACGGCCGTTTCGCTATCATTATCGTTATCGCATCATTATCGTTTCAATCTCTTCGTATTGAAACTAGAGAGAAACGGAAACGAAACAAACGTTTCAGGTGCTGTCAGAAATCAAAGACCACATCAAAACCTTGCAACAGCAGATATCACAGTTGAATATTTTCCTGGAAATTCTTAGAAAGGTGGTGCGAGGATACTACGAGGATACAATCAGCCCAGTCACTCCAAAAGTGTCGGAAAGCTCACATCATCAGCTTCCCTTTTCAGGTGGAAGATTAGCAGCACATCCATATCTTATATCGACCCATCTCGGAAGTCAACATCTACTCGATTTCTGCGATATTTTAAAAGAAAGTGAACCACTGATGTCATTACACTAGTACAATAGCTTGAAACAACAATTAGTGATTACGATTAATGGAGGGAAGGCCCTATGTTCGAAATGAACGAAAAAAACATACACAGTGGTTGCCATGTTCGACTCTCAATGAATCTCGGCATAGTTCCAATACAGCTTTATTCTATTGAACAGGACACGAGGTTGAGTAATACAAATGAGTCGGTCGACGTTTCGGCGATTTTCGCCTTCTTCGGAGCCTAAAAAAGGTGGAAACCAAATTATGATTT